TAAGTCTCTTACCATAAACACTGTGTCCCACTAAATTATAATAATGTTTGTTTGCGGCATCACAGAATCTTGCACTTGATTTTAACATCTCAATCAGTCAGTTATGTGCCATGCGTGATATACGCTTAGGGGATCATGTATCTTTCGATATATCACTGACGAGGCAGATGTTTTCCCGCAATAGGTTGTCATTTCTTTCTGCGGTAGACCTGTTGCCATCCAAGGCTATAGAACCCGGTCTGTCCTGCTATTTGCCCATAGCTGGGAGTGAGGAGAAAAAACCATTCATACCTTTCCCAAGGGTATTAGCACGTAAGTGAATTTAATGGATTCGACTGGAATTCGAACTCGGCTCTCCGATTCCTCAATCCGAAGCACACGTCTCTGTTAAGCTGTACATTATCTTATCTTTAAATAATTAAAAATCTTGAGCCAGCAGGGAAGAGTCGGCTTAAAAAATTAACATGTGAATAATTGATACTCATCTTGATGAGTACTTTCCAGCAAGCATTATGGCTATAGTAGCAGTTAGGTTCAAGAGGTTAATGTTTACTGAGGCCCTTAACTTAAACGGATGGGCGTTATGGATATCGGCTGAGAATAATCGAGGAGACGAGATCGAATTCCGGTCGAGATCTTTACATTCACTCGCAAACTAGTCTACCGCAGGCAGAATTGGCAACGTACTGCGGGAAAATCTCCAAACCATCTCTTCCGCCATGCCTTAAGCCTATAGATAGATAATGAACAGACTGTGATAGATAGATAGATAGATAGATAGATAGATAGATAGATATGAACAGCCTGTGATAGATAGAGGGAACAGACTGTGATAGATAGATAGATAGATAGATAGATAGATAGATAGATAGATAGATAGATAGATAGATAATGAACAGACTGTGATAGATAGATAGATAGATAGATAGATAGATAGATAGATAGATAGATATGAACTGCCTGTGATAGATAGAGGGAACAGACTGTGATAGATAGATAGATAGATAGATAGATAGATAGATAGATAGATAGATAGATATGAACAGCCTGTGATAGATAGAGGGAACAGACTGTGATAGATAGATAGATAGATAGATAGATAATGAACAGACTGTGATAGATAGATAGATAGATGAACAGATAGATAGATAGATAGATAGATAGATAGATAGATAGATAGATAGATATGAACAGCCTGTGATAGATAGAGGGAGCAGACTGTGATAGATAGATATAGATAGATAGATAGATAGATAGATAATGAACAGACTGTGATAGATAGATAGATAGATAGATAGATAGATAGATAGATAGATAATGAACAGACTGTGATAGATAGATAGATAGATAGATAGATAGATAGATAGATAGATAGATAGATAGATAGATAATGAACTGCCTGTGATAGATAGAGGGAAAGACTGTGATAGATAGATAGATAGATAGATAGATAGATAGATAGATAGATAGATAATGAACAGACTGTGATAGATAGATAGATAGATAGATAGATAGATAGATAGATACGAACAGTCTGAGACTTGAAAACATCTTCAAGACTCTCCCTTCCCCTGCCTAAATCAAGCTGCCCACTTTTGCACTCTTGATAAAGCTGGTGCGTTATCCCTTACAGAGCATATCAGCATGAATGTCCTTAAAACCCTTTAATCCTTATTTATTTATTTAACTTGAAGGGAAACGTTGGCATGGATCATTTTGATCGAAGAGGTTATCGGTAAGGATATTAATAGAGGCGAATGTTGGCTGACAAAGATACACTCATCGAATGTGTCCAAATGAGGTTTGTTTAGTTTGTTTTTTTTTATTTTAAAAAATGTGATTGGTCCTGATCTGGTATCACGTTTACAGTCGCTCTCTCACAGACGTGCCGTTGCTTCCCTCTGCCTTTTCTACCAATACTTTCACGGTAACTGCCCCGACGAGCTACTTTCGATGGTTCCCAGACTGCATGAATTTAAACGTGCAACTAGGCGGGCAACTCAGTCCCACCTTTTTACTGTTGAAAGCAGTTAAATGTAGCCGTCTCTTCTACTTCAATAGCTTCATGTCTCGCACTTCCCGTCTGTAGAACTCCCTTCCTCTTACTTACTTCCTGATAGCTATAATCTCCAACTATTCAAATGTAATGTCAACTGACATCTCCAGATGCCTTGATCTATTCTCCGTCCTTCTGTTCATTCTTTCCTCTATCACGCCTCTTTACTCTTGCTCCAACTTTTGGCACTCCCACCATGCTTAAAAAATTATCCCCCTTGCGGTCCACACACTTCTTCCACCGGTGTAGCCGTGCTTGAATCCAATTGGTGAAGACGCTTTCATCCTGTTGGTCAAAAAAAAAAAAGTCACCCAGAGCAGATATTACGTCATATACATATTCCAGCAAATTGCTTTTTCATGTTGGGGAACAGATGATAGTCAGATGGGACCAAATCAGAAGTATAGGGAGGGTGATCAACCAATTCAAAGCCACAGTCACGCACAGCAACCATTCAAACCAAGGACGTTTACTGGAACATTATTCCGATGAAACAAGACCTCTATTGTCAGTTTTCCTTCATTTTTTCTCTTGATGGCTTTTCGTAGCTGTCTCAGCATGTTGGCCTAGTACTCTCCATTGATCCTGTGGCCCTTTTGAAGATAGTCAATAAAAACAATGCCTTTTGCATTAAAAAAAACTGAAGCCATCACTTTCGTTGCAGATGAAATGACCATGGCTTTCTTTGGAGCAGCTGAGGAGGCGTGTTTCCATTGCATGGATTGTCTGTTTCGCTTAAGGTTATGGACTCAGCACTTATCATGGTTTGTGAAACATTCAAGGAAACCAACCAATCTGCCTTAAACAATGTCAGGTTTTCCCATTATTTGATCAGCCTGGTGCACTTCTGATCAGATGTCAGAAGACGCGGCACCCACTGAGCAGAAACCTTTTTTCATGCTAAGTTCATTGTGCCGAATATTCTCAACTCTCTCACGGGATAGGCTAATAGCATCAGCGATTTGAATTATAATTAGTCACATGTCAGCCATCACCGTGCGGTGAACACGACGTTTTCCTCGGTAGTGGCGATGGTAGCAGGATGTCCAGACTTGAAAACATCTTCAAGACTCTCCCTTCCCCTGCCTAAATCAAGCTGCCCACTTTTGCACTCTTAATAAAGCTGGCGCGTCATCCCTTACAGAGCATATCAGCATGAATGTCCTTAAAACCCTTTTTCTGCGGGTATTTGATAACATCAAGGTGTCAAATTTTGTTCATTTTCAAGAGAAGTCACTACCAGTTACATTTGAAATTTTCTTTGCACAGTCAGACGTCAGTTTACCTGGAAGGAAACAATGCAGTTATTAATAAGAAAAGTTGAAGTTAATGCTCGCAATAATCAGATTATGAACATTTCAGCCTACCGTCGTATGTAATATAATGTTGACGCTAGAGAGTTTCAACTTTCACCAAAATATCTTAATTGGCCTCAGATGAATTATCTAAGGATGTAATAAACTTTAAATAGTGGCAGTGTCAGGGAATTTGACCAATGAAATGGCAAAGTAGCAACACTTGAATTGGGCAAATGATTGATCAAGTTAAATTTGAGAATAGTGTGGAAAGCAATTGATTAGAGTGGGTGGGGATTAGCGTATCCTTTCTCAATTATCTCAAGACCGAAATGCCCCCAAAGGATCGTCAGTATAAGGCTATTGGCATTAAGTACCACCGCACAGTAAATTAGGACTGGTAGATTTAAATGAATTCTGAAGCTTAAAATAATCTTAATGTTGCTATTTTAAACTAAATAAATCAATTGTTTTAGTGTCAAATGATTTTACTACGATTCGTATTTCTTTAACAATAATCAAATTGCTGCTATTTTAATCCTTTCAGTCCTGCGCTCCTGAACAATTTTAACCTTTCGGCCTGAGCTCCTGAGTCAAAATTCGCAAATAATTGGTATGTAATGTTTCACGGTAGGTATAAAAAATAGTTACAAATATATGAGCATTATAAAGGATGTTTCATTAAGACGGATCAAAGTTAACAGTAAATAAATCAGTGTTATTGGTGTAAATTTATTTATTTCTCTATTGGATCATGTTATTTAAGTCATGGCAATTATGTGTGAAAAATAATATCGCCCAAATGTCCGCCAAATGTTCACTCGATGGTCAAAATTTTTGATGACGTCTCTGTATAGTTGCTCCTCGATCTCACCAATATGCCTTATTATCTCATCCTTCATCTGTTGAATTGTTGTTGGCTTATTGGCATTGACTTTACTTTTGAGATGACCCCCAAAGGAAGAAATCTAAAGGCGTCAATTCGCACGATCGTGGAGGCTAATTGACTTCGCTGTTTCGAGAGATGATGCGACCTGGGAACTTCTCATTTAAATTCATATTTGAACGTCCATATTCGTAATAGGATTCGATAACGTTAACACGTTGTTTGATTGTTAATTTTTCTATGGTTGAAATTGCCAAAGACTTAAGTTGTTAAATCTGAAAGAAAAAGAAAAAAATCGTTAGACGCTTAAACTTAATGCACATTTAAAATCGGTCCAAGTTATTTAGCAGGGTGAGAGCATGATCGCCAGAAATCGTCCTTTGTGTCCCAGTCTACCTAAATAAGACAACCAATAGCAAAACACGACGCATGTGTTTACCCACCGTTTAACCGGTGGCTGGGCATTGAATCATTTTTTTCTCTACCACCGGTAAAGCGTTGGTCAGGGCTCAAAGGGCTAACTGCATAAACCAATGGTTTTAATGTCAAATACTTTAACTCATCTAGTATTTCTTTAACTAAATCAATCACCCCTTCTCACAAATTTTATCCTAAGTTTTGAGACTTCGTCTTAAAAAGTGACTTGCCATTATTTTGGGAATAAATCAAAATTTCGGGAGTTTAAAAATATACTAATATTTTAATTCTAAAATAAGGATTTTCTGTTCGAAAATTGAAACTGCCTCACATTTCCATTTCGTTA